TCTTGATAGGTTTACCATTATTTTTGGTCAGGATTAGACTAGGAAATCAATAAATCCTGAAAGAAATGTGTGGCCAGGGAATTTCAGGATCCTGACAGGATTTCAATCAAGATTTTCAAGGATCCTGACAAGTTTGACATTCTCTTTCAAATCAAGATTGAGCCAGGAAATCGATGATTCCTGAAAGAAATGTGTAGCCACGAAATTGTAGGATCCTTTCAGGATTTCAATAATTTAAAATTGCAAAAAAAGATTTCTGATCACATCTTTCAGGATTTGACTAGGTTTCTTCCAAGATATTATCAAATTTCTTGACAGGATCCTTGTAGAATTGAGCCGGATTTCCTTCAGGATGTTGTCAGTTTCTTGGCAAGATCTTTGCAGGATTTTCTAAATAGAATATAAATGAAATGAACATATAGAGTATTGATCTCTAGACCTTCAGTTTACATACCGATCAGCTTACCCGGCTGGATGTGCCATGTGATTCTATATCATTGCAACGTTCAATATCTTCATTTCTGACTTTAATGTAAATTTCTATTTGAATTTTATGTACATAGAAATTTTTTCAACAAAATTTTGGAAGTTGAATATTATTTAGCATATTTATTTTAGTTCACGCAATTTTTTCATTTTTGAAAATTTAAGTTCGATTTAACAAATATATTTCGATTTTTTTTATTTTAATTTGATTTACAACATTCATTTCGAAATTTTTTTATTTCAATTTGAGTTAAAAAATATATTTCGATTTTTTAAAATTTTGATTCGATTGAAAAAATATGCTTAGAATTTATTTCCATTTGATTCAAAAAAATATTTGAAATTTTTTTTCGAACATAATGAAAACTATTAGCTGTTTTTATCAAAAAGTTTGCTACTGATTAAAATTACATATTTAACGAAAAAATTTTACGATGACTAAAATTCAAATTAACACTCTAATTTAAGGATTTTCAAATTTATTTTCCTGATAAGATAAGAAAAGAACTCAAAGTTGTAGTTCGAATCTCAAAGCAACTTCTATACAAACTTTAAAAAGGTTTGTAAAATATTTTTCTAAGATTTTTAAGATCCGCTCTATTTCTTTGTTAAAAGTACCAAATCAGGATCAGAATAGAAATGCTAGTAGATTATTCAGCTGTCAGAATTTTGTCGTGTCCCAAAGAAAAATTCAACAACATCTTAGGTATCCTTCTATTTATTTTTGTTGATATTGTGCTCAACATTGGTATTAAAATTTTATTGTGATCTATAGATTTAGAAATGTTGAATGGATCCTGATGTAAACCTAGCTAATAAGATGAAGGATCTGTTTGATTCATTATTGCTAGGTTCTTGACAGCATCCTGAAAATTAAATATTGAATAGTCTCTAAGCATAAACCTGGAAAGATCTTAACTGGATTCTCGTATTTTCCTATCAAAATCCTGCCCATACTTGTATTTTTTTTAAAGATTCGAAATGTCTGTTCTTGAACAGTTCCTCGCAAGATCCTGACTGAAGTTTGGCTGGATTATTCAGTTAAGAATTCTCACTGATCTTGCTTTATTCTTGGTAAGATCCTTCTCTGATATAACATAACTCTTGACAGGATCCTTTTATCAGGATCCACGACAGATCTTGATTCAAATCTAATGAGATCTTGACGAAATCCTCCTTATAACTTTTGTCAGGTTCCTGAATAGAATCGAAAGTGAATCCTCATAGGATTCTGCAATATCGATACAAAAAAAATCCGAGCAAGAACTTAAACCAATTTTGGATAGAATCCTCAATCAAATCTGACAGAATCCTTAAGATTTATGATTATTAAAGATCCTTCGAGGTTGTCTCAAGAAATTGGCATAAATGAGGAAACTAAGCAGTGTCCTGTAAAGATCTTTGCTAAATCCTCATATTTTCGTATCAAGATTCTGATTAAAATTGATGCTGTCTTGCAAAATGTGGAAACGCATATTATTGAAAGGTTCTGAATAAGATCCTGATTGAATCTCTGCAGGATTAGCCGGCTTCATACTCTGACTAATCTTGTTATTTTCTTGCCAAGATCCTCGTCTCATGTGAGTATCAGTCCTGACAGGATCCTGATACGAAGATTTGATCAAGATCCTGACGAAAACCTGATGAAATCTTAGCAGAATCCTTTCTTATAATCTTGAGAGGATCATTGATAGTATCCTGAGTAAATCCTGATAGGATCTTGTATTCTCAATTCAAAAAAGTATCTGAGCAGGAACCTGAAGAAATCCTGAACAGGATTCTGTTTCACCTTGAAAAATCCTGGAAACAGGAATTAAGAGGATTCGAAACAGGATCCTGAATAAAAGTTGAAAGGATCCTTGATACTCAGGATCCTGTAAGATCCTTCCAAGGTTTCTCAAGGAATGAGCAGGATTGAGACTAGGGAGCCTTCCCAAAAAAGAAGTGGAGGGTGTGGGTGTGGGATGTGTGGGGTGTTGGTGTAGGTGTGGGTGTGGGTGGGTGGATGGTGTGGGTGTGAGTGGGTGTGAGTATGGG